CGGGCCGGGGGGCAGGCCCGGGGGCCTGCGAATCAGCTGCACTTATTCGCCTCCCGCGCACCTCGCGCCGGCGACCAAAACGGCCAAGATAACGGCAAAAGTGATTGATGACAGTAAGAGCAAAGGTCCAGGATTACAAGGGACTGCTACTGTTCTTTCATTTTTTGACACAACCGGCCACTCCCGAAGCCCGCTCCCCCGGGGTGGTGGGACTCCAGCAGCAGCGGTCCAGCGCGCTGCAGCGGCGCGCCGGCCCGGCACTGGGACAGGGGGACAGGGCCGTGTTCTCCGGGCCAGGCTCCGGGCCAGGGATGTCGCTGATAGCAGGTCAGCGGGCCGCCGCCGCCGCGTCCACCGCAGTCACGCCGCGAGATAAAACTGCCCACACGAAGTGGCCACTCTCCCCCCCCCCCCCCCCCCGGGGGGGGGGGGGGGGGGGGGGGGGGGGGGGGGGGGGTAAGGATGGTTAGGAGGGGAGGGGGTCCATAAACACAGCCCCCCTTACCCCCCGCGGGGGGCCTCGCTGCGCAGCGCGGAAGCCTAAACGGGTGCAACTACTCAGCCCCGGAGCAATAAGGGGGCCTTAGCAATTGAAAGGAGAGGATGAGGTGTGCAGGAAGGGGGAGGGGGGGATAACGGGCATAACGGGTGCGGGGAGGCGGTGTCGTGTGTTGACGCCCTCGTTTCGAACCCCATGAACAAACACGGCACGGACGTGCGGCGGCGGCCCCCGCTGCATGAGGGCGCGAGGACCGCGGCGGCGGCGGCCTGGTGGACGTGGCCACCGCGGGGCCGAGCAGCCGCCAGCCAGGGCCCTCACTTTTACCCGCGTACCCGGGTAAACACGGGTGGGTAAACGGGTCTTACCGGGTAACGCTGGTCTCCCCGGGTACCCGGGTTACCCTCTGCTACCCGGCAAGGCCTGTTGTATTCGGTTCCTACTCGGGTTACCCGGGTAACCTGGGCTACCCGCGGGTTCGGGTTTAGAAGAGAGCCCTACCGCCAGCGTCGCGCTGCCCTTTATTGCGACGCCCCGGTCCTGCCGAGCGACACGGCTCCCGCGACTTTGTTTGGCCCGCAGCGCGACGACTGCGCGAGGAGGAGTTGCACACCACACCGCCGCGCACGCACCGGCCCGGCGTGCACCTCTCCGCCCGGCGTGCACCTCCAGACCTGCATGCAGCTACCCGCCCCCCGCCCGGCGTGCACCTCCCGGCCCGGCGTGCACCCTGCTCCGCCCTAAACGACCATCGTCGTGACAAATCTACCGACTCGGCGGACGCGGGCTGATTTACGAGCAGGGTCCGGTGCGGCCCCGCGCCCGCGGGAGGGAATGTCCCCGCCCGGCTCCGAGGCGACCGACGGACGGGTAAACCGCGCCGCGAGATGAAAAATTTCCGTTTTATATTCCTTGACCGTCGCGCGCCCCGGGCCCCGGGCCCCGGGCCCCGGACCCGCGCCGCGCGGCCACGCCACCCTGCTGTCAACACGGCGTCCCGTCGCGCTCCGCGGCCCCAGTCGGGCCTAACGAGACGCACGCGGCCGCGGGCGCGCGGGGCAACACGAAGTGTGCGAGGGACATGCCGCCGGGGCTGCCGACCGGGACCCTCGCACTCGCAAGAGTTTGATATGGGCGGTGTGACTAACCGACAAATGTTGCATATATTTGACAAAATTTGAAATGAACCGTCAATTGTTGTCTTCTTCAAAATGATCGCAGTGGTGACATCGCCAAACGCAGAAACTATTAGTAGAAGTAGAAGAAAGAGACTAGCTACATTCCGTGACTAAAATTACTTACCGCAGTCGACACCAGCTGAATTTCAGATATCCCCGGAAATGAACGCAAGATCTTGCAGGTCAAGTTCAGCTTGTAGCTCATAGCTCGTGCTCGCCCCGGTCCAGCTACTAGTTAGCCGGCGAAACTCTGCCTTTTGATTCTTTTCGGACGGATAGGCCTACGGATCGTCCAGGACGTACGTCTGTCATTCGCCGTTTCGAACCTGCCAAATTCAACCTCTGCAAGCTCTCATAGCGCCTGGTAGATAGGCAAACGTCGTGCCTGCGTTGCATGCGTGTACTGCGCGGTGGCCTACCCCGAGTTTCGCAGGCGCCCGAGCTCCAGTAATTAGTAATTTGCCGAATGAATCTGAGGAAAGGGGGGGCGTACTTTCTGGACGGCCCCCTTCGGGATCGATCATAACGCGACCTCCGTTGTGTTATTCCGGTCGAACGACAGGAATGTCGTCACTTACCATTCCTCGGCGGCCGGGCATGGCTGGGCACTCGTGTAGGGCTGCTGCTGAAGCTGCTGCGGGCGCCGCTAGGTCATTCCCGGTAACGGCGTGTTCCTGGACACGGCCAGCACTTTCACCACAACCGCACTTGTCACCGCGCACGTTGGTCAAAGTTCCATCCCCTGCCCCTGCTCGCTGCCGTCGGGGAGGTGCTCAGTACCGGGGCGCGCGGCCGCGGCCTGCAGGTGCGCGACGAGAGCGAGGACGCTGACGCTACGACGGGGCGGAGCGAAGCGGCGCAGGCGCGGGACGGGGGCGTGCTCGCCTGCCGGAGGATGGGGCCTCACTGAGCGAGCCCTCTCCGGCCGGCCCCGCCCGGAGTAGCCGGAGCCCAGCGCAGAGCGCAGCGGGGCCCGCGGTAGGGCAGAACAGGGGCCCCACAGGACCCCCGCTCCGCGGCCCTCGCGGCCCCCGGCTTGCCCCCGACCCGAACCCAACGCCGCAGCGGGCTGGACATGCAGTCTACTCGAGTCTACTCCTACCATCTTCTGCTAATCCACTCATCACGAATTTCTGAAACTTGAACAGTTCTCACTTATTGTGGCTTTATCAGGTTAAGGAGTTTAACAGTTGACAGTTTAACAGTTCCATTTTGCATGATATTGGGGAATATAACTATGATCTTCAGGGATAGGAAAGTTACTTTTAAAAATGTAACTAGTTACAGTTGCAGTTAGTTTTGCCAAAAATGTAACTAGTTTCAGTTACAGTTACTTTTTCTTAAAGATTGCCGTTACAGTTACAGTTACATTTTGTTCGCCAAAAATTGTAACTAGTTACAGTTACAGTTATCCCGGTAGTTTTTGAGTTAAATTGGTCGTTGTTTTCTATTAATTATTTTGTAATGGAAAAATTGTTTGCAAGGTAGGCGATTACGCATTGTTTAAAGTCCGCAAAACTCTGCTTTCCTCGTCGTCTAGCGAGGGTCAGAAGGGGCTAGCGGTGGACGGGTGCGGGCGGGTAGGGGTAAGGGGAAGGATAGGGGGCATCCTTCTTTTTGTGCAGCAGGTACAGAGTGTTGCGACTATTGCCGGACAAGCGGGCGGCTAACCCAAGGTCGCCAAGGCCGGGCGAATGTGAACCGTGACAAATGCGGCAGAGCATCTCGAAGACCGCTCTGTTGAAACGGATATACGTATAATTGACATGCAGTAAATAAAAGGGTCTTTCTCCTCGACCTCGCCGCCTTGCTTGCACAGGCCTGCACAGACCCCAGATGAGCCGAAACAATACCGTCTTTCCAGCTCCTTTTCCTTCATTCCTCTGAATGCCGCGCTAGCCGCAGACTCCAGATAGCACATTGCAACAGAATGTGGATAAACAGGAAAGAAATCTCACACTTTTTAAAAGTTCTACTGGGCAAAAATAACTGTAACTGATATTAGTTACAGTTACAGAAAAAAAATGTAACTAGTTACAGCTACAGTTATTTAGTTTGAAAATGAAACTAGTTACAGTTTCAGTTGCTGCAAATTGTAACTAGTTACAGTTACAGAAACTAGTTTAGTTAAATTTTTCCCATCCCTGATGATCTTCACATTAAAATGTGTTTATATTCCATAGATTTTCACATTTAAACACATCTAAATGTGAATTTCGCGGTTATTTACCCAAATATCATGCAAAACGGAACTTTTAAACTGTTAACTGTTAAACTGTTAAACTTGTTACACTTCTAAACCTGATAAAGTATGTGTATTTTCTTCGTTCCAGACAAAATCCAGCGAAAATTTTTTTTTGACACAGATGCGAGCGCAATGTAGTATACCGTAATTCAACATCAATACTGACATTTCTTTTTCTTTTTAAAATTTTGGTTTTGTAGTGGTAGGGGCGGAGGTATTGTCGACTGGAGGGGCTATCGGAGAACTCCCAAATTTTTCGACTTCTGCTCCAAATCTCATATACTGTCCTTAGAATTTGGGTATTGTCGGCAATAAGGTAATCAAAAAGCGTCAAAAAGTTTAGGGTCTGTATCCAAAATCCGCTCTGCAAATCAAAACTGTCTAACGAGGTGGCAGTTGAAATTGTAAAACTAAAGTGCAAAACAAAGAAAAGTTCTATGACATTATCAGCTGGCTAAGTAGTTTAAACAGCATAGCCTCTCTCCGATCTTCCTCCTGTCAATCTTTAGACCAGATGATGTATGTCATTCCCCCCTGCAGGCGCTTCTGCGCGCGAACGCCGCCCCCCCCCCCCCCCTTTCCGAACAGCTCACACCTCATACGAACAATAACTCTCCCGCGTGGTCAACCACTTCGGTTTCGGGCCCACTTCGGGTCGGCTCGGCGCTGCTGATACTCCCTTCAGCCACACTCTTCAAATCTGTAAACAACATATTTTACGCCGGTGGTTTCGCACGTTTTGAATACATTGTCTGCACGTTTTTAATAGCCTTTTTTCCTCATACAGTGATTGTGATGAGCACACGTGCAATGAAACATGCTAAAGGTGTTAAGAAAGGGAAGGGATCCAAACGTAAGTCAACAAAATGTCGTAAGTTGTGCCCTGTTCTAGTCTTGCAGAACAGAAAACGAAGTGCCCTTCCTTAAGCTTGTTATGTTTGTTTTTATTATTTTGTAAAATTGTCAAATTTTGTGTGTATTATCTTCTTAAGTAAAATATGCACACATCTTGATTCTTCCAGGGCCTGCAAGCTCCCCAGACAGCAGCTGTTCTGAAAGTAAACGTACCAGAAAAGAATCACTTGCTTATCGTGAGGTACATTCTGTACACAACTTCTCTGTTGAAGAAGCTAAGGATTTTACTTCATCTCTATTAAAGTGGTACCATAAAAATAAAAGGGACCTACCATGGAGATCGTTGGCAGGAAATCTTTCATCTACAGACAGAGCATATTCAGGTATCTTGGCATTCAATCAAAGGAACATTGTAAAAACCACACTTTTTTTTTTTGAATACATTATTGTTCTTTTTCTTCTAGTCCTCGTGTCGGAAGTAATGTTGCAACAGACTCAAGTTGCCACAGTGATCCCATACTACACCAAATGGTTGGCACGCTGGCCAACATTTCATCATTTAGCTCAAGCGTCATTAAATGATGTCAATGAAGTGTGGTCTGGGATGGGCTATTACAGCCGAGCTAAAAGATTATGGGAGGCTGCTAAAAAAGTTTGTAAAACATATGACAACTCCTTTATTTACACGAGGATTTTGAAGGTTGTTCATTTTTGTTGGTATTTCTAGGTAGATGGAGAATTAAACAATCAGGTTCCCCTGACAAGTGCAGAACTTCAAAACCAATTACCTGGGGTTGGGAGGTATACTGCAGGTGCAGTTGCTTCCATTGCCTTTGGGGAGAAAGCAGCTGCTGTAGACGGTAATGTGATACGTGTGTTGTCAAGAGTACGATGCATTGGAGCTGATCAGACATCAAAGGTACTGTATGTTCCTTCCTAATAGTGTTCCTAAATCTCACTTGTTGGTCCATTGTGTTAATACCTCGTTATCCTGTAGGTTGTTTTAGATCACATTTGGAAACTGTCTGATCAGCTTGTGTCTCCTGATGAACCAGGCAACTACAACCAAGCCATGATGGATTTAGGTGCTACCATATGCACTCCAAAGAAACCTTCCTGTTCATCTTGTCCTCTATCACATATCTGTCGAGCTCAACAAAGAGTTCAGCAGGCTAATCCTCTAAAAGAGTTGCAAATAGAATCGAAACCTAGCATCTTGGATATTGAAGATGGCAAGTCACGCGAATTTTTGTCATGCTTAGCCAAAAACTCTAAACTTTCATCTGATATTTAATCTATATCCTTCTACATTTGTTTCACAGCGTCCTGTCTTCTTTGTTTGAAATCAACCTGGAACAACAGGTGAGGTATTTTCTCTTTTCTTTCAATTTAAGGAATGTTTCCTGATAGGTATTGTTTAAAAACATCTCATTTTTTTGCTCTTTGTCCAGCCTGGGCGTTATGAATTTTCCACAGAAATCTAAAAAAGCTCCCCCTCGGAAGGAGGTGACTTTAGTTTGTGTTTTCCATGTTGAATCAGATAATGGATACGAATACCTTGTGACAAAAAGACCCCAAGGAGGTGTGTAAAAAATGTGTTTTGGTGTTTGATTTCTTGAATTCACTCTATTTGGAGTTCTTCATTTGTTGAACCTGTGCTAATTATTGTGCACCTTGTCCTAGGTTTACTTGCTGGCTTGTGGGAGTTCCCAAACCTTTTGTTTGAGGGTAATCGTGAAGATGATGATAAGGAAGAGGAAAAGAAACAACTTGAAAAGACACTACTTCGCAAGCAATGGGGAGCCAGCAAATCGATTAGGCAGCCACAATATGTAGCTGATGTCCCTCATATTTTTTCTCATATTCATCAAATGTATGTTGTTTATTCATTGAAATTGGACAGCAAAACTGATATTTGTTGTGACAAGAAAGAACTAGAGACTGAATGGATGAAATCGGATGGAATACTCACATCTGCTATATCTACTGCCATGAAGAAGGTCACTTCTATACAATAATGTGTATGAATTAAAACTTGGAAATAAATAAAATCTAATTGTTGTGTCTTTGTTAAAATACAGGTGTTCAAAACAGTTTCCTCATCACACGAGACGGTATGTTTTATGTTGTGTTCAGCAAAGTACTGTCTCCTTTTTCATTTGAAAATGTTTCACAATGTGGCCCTGCTTTCTTTTTTCTAGATAACAAGCATTTCAAAAAAAGTGCAGCACAAGTCAAAAAAGGCAATTGACAAAAATACTAGGAAGGTTTCAGATTTTTTCCAGAAGGTCCAAAAGTGAATCATTCATCAACAAACAGAAATGTGAGTCAATTATAATGATTGATTTTTTAATCCATCTATCTAATTTTATCCTGTCTTTAGTTTTATTGCTAAGGCACTTTGTAGCATGACATTTTATAATTAGGTTTAAAAAATTATAGCCATTTTTTTTCTCAAACATAACATATAATTATTTCAATTATTAACCTACTGAATACAATTGTTAATACAACACAATGGAATCCATTTTTAAGTAGCAATCCAATTGACTAGAATATTAATGTACCAAGAGTTAGCATCACATAAAATTAAATAACGACAACTAAAAGTGCAAAATTTGTATTGTTTTCCTCACAAAACTATTTTTTTTTTGTTAGTGACATACCTTTTAACTTTACCTTTATCTTACTGTGAAATTATCTTGATGTGTATCTGACATGGAACCATCTTGTTCACTGCTCTTGTACAATAACTGACTCTGAGCTTGAGCCAAGTCAAATCGAACGAGTTTTTGAAGATTGTGAAGAATTTCTGGTTCTGGCTCTTTGCCGTTTTCAATATCATGAACGACCTTTATCAAACATTAGAAACAGTAAGACAGTAGAATTACACTTTTCCCCCTTGGTGTATTTTCCCTATATTCTTACCTCTTCTGTTAAGGCCCGTCCCCATTCTGCTCGCTGAGAGTCAAGTGTAAACCAAAGAGCCAAAGCACAACGTGATCCTTGTTCAACTCCGCGTACACCATGCAAATTTTCAATTCCTGAGGAAAATCCTACTAAGCGGCCACACTTTGGTTGGATTGTACTCTGCAAATCAATTAATTCAGATCTGGGTATGATGACATTTTGTAACACTCAGTAGTGATTTTCCTTCAGAATATATACATACTTGAATGTGATTTCCATATGCATCTGCACTAAACAAGAATTCTCCTCCTTTGAAATTATTATTTAGATATATAAGGGCGCTGAAATTAAAATGTTTGTTTCATTCTGTGTGACTATTGCTCAACATACATATTTCATCCAATCAATTTAGAAACCAATTCTACCTGTAGTCTCTCCAGTAGTAAGCAGGATCTGCTTTCATACAATCTCCATTTTTTGACAGCCAACAGTTATCTGCATGTATTTCATGACTGTATTGAGAACTATTGAAAAATTCCCCTGCAAGAGTACCCCCGATTATTGATGTTATAAGTAACCCTTTTTTTAAAATATTTTTAGCACTCAATTAATCAATGTTATGGTGCATCTGATTTCAAATTTCTCTGCCCTACATACCAGGCTTTGCTGAACGACAAACAAGATGTGTGTAACTGAAGTACAAATTTTTGTTGGGTATATTAAAGTACGCTGCAATCATATTTCTCCCTCTTTCACTTAAGCTTAAGAAGAGATGCAGAACTGATCTTTCAATCAAACCAAAATTCATCATCTGCAAATAAAATTAGAGAGTCAAGCTTTTGTTAAAATAATTTGTTTTTGCCACTTCTATGATCAGAATAACTTAGGATTGTTTTACCAGTGCTGCCCTGCCTAATGTCACTCCTTCAAAGTTTTCTTGTGAGGAATGTGGTGATTTGTTGCCACCATACCCATCTCCCGAAACACCGCTTGCCTGAAATGGATAAAGTATATTAGGTAATTGAAGTCTAACACGGGGTAGATAATCAAACACACCGAGGTGTGTTTTTTTTCCTATGTTCTTGTTTAGACTTGCCTTGGCAAACTGGATCAGACGTTCACACTCATTTTCTTCAGCAAGTCCATCAATTACAAAACGCCTTATGCCTCCCAATTCATCCTCTTTCCTCAAGTTGTAAATGGGTCTATCAGTCATTCTTCTCAACTGGTTCATTAGTTGTTCAAAACTAGAATTCAGCTCTGATTTCTTTTCTATCTTATTTTCAGCTGAATTACCCTCAACCTTCTGATTTTTCCCAAGCATTAGTCGTTTTTCTTCCAGCATAGAGCTCTTGTGAGCTATATCCTGGTTCAAATTCACTGGTTCAAGATGAATTTTAGTTAAGGTTTTGTGTGCAGTTGCCCAAGGGAGAGATTGAGGGGTCCCATTCTTGATGATCACATCTCCACCTCTATCTTTGTAGATCTGTTGATTAAAAAATGAAGCCTTAGTCATAAATCGATTACTTGTTGGTGCAGCTATGCATTACACTCTTATGAAAAGGCATTTTCTTCAGCCAATGAATTTATGATGATAAAAATGGTTAAGTGTACATTTTGTCAAGACAAATATACGTACTAGAAAAAAATGACACCTTGATTACATATGCAGCCATGGTCGATGAGAAACACAGGTGAAATGCATGGTTAATGTTAGTTCTCCCTGAATTTTTAAAGAATGATGAAAACAATGAAAACAGAAACAGAAAAATACCAAATACCACACAGCCCAAAGGACAGTGAAGGAAGGGATGAGTCCACAAAATAAGAGAAGAGGTTTCATGTTAGAGTAAATTATTTCAAGTTTTTATTTACACTCATTTTAACAAGGTACATCAGATCTATGAGGATCACAGTCATAACATTATCATTATATAAAAAGCTGGGAAGAGAGATCGGTTGTAACATGAAGTGATGAATGCCATTTAGCATCTGCAATTCTGGTAACCAGTGTTCAAATGTGGATGAGTCGGTCAAATTAAAATTAAAAGCAAAGGACAATAGCACATAAATCAAAGCTATGTAGTGTAACAATTCCATACTAGTTTTAGAAGGTCCACTTGCAAAGATGCGAAGAACATTTATTTTAACACATTTCCTCACCAGGAAATGAACAACTTGTCATGTAAGATACTGCAATTGTTCACCTCTCTGAAATGCAAAAGTTCCGCTCAGAAGTTTTCTTCCTATTTGAATAGGGTTTTCAACGTAGTATATTTTTCAATTAAAAATTATCATTGGTTTATATACCCCTTCTGTGGGTAAATCTGAAAAATTGAAACCCCTGCAATAGAGAAAATTCATATAGAATAGTGAGCATGCAGTCTACCCGCTACAAAGAAAAGAACACACATAAACCAGGCAGCATGCATAATGTTACAGCTAGTACAACTTGTTTTACATAGGAATGTTGTTGAAATTGTTTCTTTTGTTGGTTTTTCTTCTCTCACACACACACATTAAACAATATACGTCAGTTAATGCAAAAGGTACATAAAGAAATGTGTTTTTCTGGCCCCAACAAAAACCGGAGACAGTGTAAATCTTCTATTCCACAAGAGAAATCTTGGAATTTTTTTCCGGCTAATAACAGTAGATCTCTGTGATGTGCATATGCAGACCCATAGGCATTCACATTCAATAATTACCTCTTCAGCATGTGGGATTTCATTTGTGTCCTCGTTTTCTTCAAAAACAAACTCATCTGATATGTATGTTAGTAGTGATTCTTCATAAGATTGTCTTTTGATATACTTCTCTGCATCCTGGAATAATATTTAGCCACAGATTATGAGTACTAGAGGTAATGGTATAATTTCTGAACCAAATTTACTTAGATTTTACTTACTGCCCTAGGCCGGAACATACTGTCATCTACTTTTGGCAAAGTCTTATAGTATTCCACATTCTCTAGCATGGTACTGTCACCTGGTAAGAACAAAAGGTAGGTTCCTGCAGCAGCACATGCCTCTCTTAAATTTCCCTCTGTAAAATGAACAAATAGATAATTAATAGAATTAGGAAGACACATTAACTTTGCAACTAAACAATAAAGAAGAAGCTTACTTTTATAGTATGCAAATTGAAGGTAGTTAAAATGTGTTGCCAAAAAGTCATCATACTTTTCACCATTCAGTACACTAAGTTTGGATTGACATTTTGCTTTACATTTAAGACAGTAAACAAAATGATCTGGAATAAATAAATAAATAATTAAGTTTAGTATTACTGAAATTATTTCCTTATTTAGGTGCTCTAAAATTAAGTACAGACTTGCAATGGATGATGTGAAGTCTGGTAGCCACCCTTGATCAAAAGGTCCTTCACAATCGGCCCTACATTCATCACTAGCTTTAAAAAATTCTTTCAGTGATGCCTCTAAATTAGAAATAGCAGCATCATACTCTTCTTTGAAATAGGCTTCTGTGCCTAAGGTGTATAGGGAAACAAATTTCTGAAATAAAAGTATTAAAAACGTTATTTGTTTAATTTAAATGGACCACAATCATCCAGATGTTCTTACTTCTGACTCGTAGTTGACTATGCTATTGACATCAATTCCAGGCTTGGCGAGGTAGTATTTTAAATTATGCTTCATGATCTCATTGTTTGGGTCATGGGACAAAATTGTGAAAACTGCAGATGCTGCCTTCTGCGTCTGCTGTGTCTGAAACAACACGAACAACACACAAATTAACTTTCAAGTGTACCCCCAGGAGTCAGGACAGAGGCGGGTGGAAAAAAAGATACGCAGTCGGTAGGACTCGAACCTACGCTCCCAGAGGGAAACTGATTTCTAGTCAGTCGCCTTAACCACTCGGCCACGACTGCGGCCTGCGGAGGGGCGAGCGGCTCATTCATGTGTTTGTAGTGGGGCGGGTCAATAGCCTTGACAGTCGCGGGAATGGGGAAGGGGGAGTGACGTCATGCGCTGCCGAGCGGCGCGCGGCGCTCGGGTGTGCTCGCTCGTGTGTTTGGGTGGCTCGGGACGCGGCGCGGCGCGCGCCACTTTTGAATCGCTGCGCGGAGATGCCGGCCGGCGGGGGAGAGCAGAGAGAAGGTCTCTCTGAGCGAGAGCGCAAAGCGCTCCTCTCTAGACGAGGAGGATCAGGATCGGACTAACACTTGCACCCATGCGACATGCGATCGTCTCTGACCACGGCCCCATGGCGCCTTACGGCCCGAACGAGTCGGCAACCCGCCCGCACATGTGCATGCGGGGCAGTCTAACGACGTTCGGCCGCAAGACTGTTCCGACTCCGACCAAACCGACTCAGAGTTGGAACACAAGCCCACTAGCCTGGTGCTACAACAATCAACGACTAGACTATGAACTATGACGAACTAAACCAACTATCACACAAGTCAGTAGTGCAATAACCCACGCCTCCGCCTAGAGCGAGGCGCGCGCAAAGCCGACGTTGTAATCTAAAACCGTAATCATTCATTTCCTTTCCCCATGTGACTACATTTTTTTGCAGCCTTTACTGCACGTGCGCGCAAACCACGAGTGGATTAGAAAGATAGATAGCGGCAATTTGGCGTTTTCCAAGACTCTCAATTAGCTCTCCTCCAGGACTCTCGTCACGAGCGTGAGTACTTTGTCGCGCGTCGCGCCCCTCCACCCTGAGGAACTTGTTTGGAAAGCAATCGAGGGATCGGCACGTAACCGTGTTCAAAGCGTCGCAAAGCGGAGCTCTGGCTGCACGCTTTGCAGTCTTTACTGCTTCCCTTGTTTGGTTCCCCCTCCTCTAAACAGCTCGCTCTGCGCATGCACTACTCGCAATACAAACCAGAGACTCCCATCTCAATCGCCTCCTGCACATGCATAACCCCTCGATGGATATCCACACGGAAAAAAAGATTAGCTGTCAGAGCGAATAGATTGGCTAATATGGTGACAGCCAAGAAATTCGCACAACACAACACAAAATAATAAGTTGCCACCAGTACAATCTAGAGAAAGGGCCGGGGGGGGGGGGGGCTAGTCGCTTGGTGAAGCCCGGCCCGACAGCAAAACTTTTGTTCCTGGGTCAAAACTTTCGGGTTAAGGGTGAAATGTTTAAGGCATCTTTTCATTTCCGCCTTTTCTCTCCGTGTGTGGCAGCAAGTTTTATTTCGCAGACTAGCAGTGGACTTAGTACTTAGTATTCGCGTCTCCTTTTTTTAGACGACATCCGGTTGCTATGCACCACGCCGCGCCACGCACGTCGATATCGCTCCGGACATTTTTATTAGGGATAGGGCGGGCCGGGGCGCGGCGGGGCGGGGCGCAGCGGGCACACCAGTAGCACACCACGCCGCGCCGCCTTCACAGAGATAAGGAGCGACTAGCTGTGGGGGCTTCGTTGACTGTATTACACACACACTCACACGCGCGCGCGCACTCACATACACACACATACACGCACACAGCAAAACACTACTACTCCTCTGGGGTTTCTACATGTAGCGATAGGCCGGTCGGTTTCGAGGGAAGACGTCGCGGCCGTGGCATGGCATGGGCAGGAAATTTGATCGCGTCGGACGAAACGCCAGCGCGAGCATCGCGTCCACCGCGGCCATGGCGGCCGGCGGCCGGCTGAGGCAGCGGAACACGCGAACCCCGGCGAGACATTGACGCCGCAGAGACTCTTTTGTAAACCGAGTAGTTGGCGTTGGTAATATCGGGAGGGGGGGGGGAGGGGGTCCGAACGACGAGGCCCAACAGGGCAGCCGAGGGCCGGCGTCCGGGTAGCGTTTGTAAACGCCGCGTAACCAATCCGCGTATTTGATTGGTTCCCAATCAACGAAGAGGGCCTGCATGGTTGCTGCGGAGTGCGTCACTCCGTCGAGTCGAGAGGACGGGGCAGCAGCACCAGCCCGGGGATGGAGGATGTAACACGCACTCTTTGGAGCCCGCGGTTGTTTGTAGTTACCAGTCTATTTCCAGCCCTGGGGGCGGGGGTGGGCGGG